CCGCAGGAGATCAAAAGGTATCTGTTACCTGTTTCCTGGCCCTCTAGTTCCAGCTCATATTGGATCATGGGATCTCAGAGGCCAAGACGTCCAACACTTTCCTCTCTTATAGCCTTATCCAAACTCAGCTTGAATACTTCAAGCGACACCACTCACCACTCTAAGAAACCATCCCATTTCCATTTTTGGACAGTTTGTTACAAATTCCAGTTTGAAGTTAAAGAAAAAAATCCTTCAGACCCCTGGGGCTTAGGGGTAGTGTCACTTGGCTCCATGACAAAGACCAAGAGGGTTCATGATCCTGCTTGTGGCCCATCCTCTGTAAATATTTGGCCCACGTATCCAATTCAACAAGTGTCTACTATAAGATGCACCATTCTATGTCAGGTGGCTGGGATACAGAGATACAAAGACAAAAAGCCAAAGTGTCCCAGCCCTTTAGGAGCTTACCCCGGGTGTCCCAAAACCGTGCAATTTGGCTACATTGTGTATTCTACCTGAGAGTGAAATAGCATATGTATAAAGATGAGTAAATACAAAATAGAGTATTTCATGTGTGTGTGTGTTGGGGGGGCACACTAACAATTTGGTGTGAGGGGGGTTAGAGAAACTTAGCTAAGTCTTGAAGGAAATTAGGAATTCTAAGCAGTGAGGGTCAGGAGGCATTCCAGGCATGGGGGACTGCCCATACAAGGCCGGCAGAAGGAACATGGCAAGGGCAAGTAGGACAAATTTTCTGTACAGTGTTTGCAGAGGAGTTGTTTCCCAACGAGCATCAATTTAAACACATTGTACAGACAAGGGGGATTCATTCCATAGTGGTCCTTCCGTAACAGCACTAGATTTTGTAAACTAAGCCAGCCGGCCTAGGGCACTGGGCCTAATAGGCTGGGGACAGGACACTGTCGTCTAATGGCCAAATGTAGGCTGTCTCCCATAGATGCTCCCCACCCTATCCCACAAGCCAGGGAGAAAGCATAGCCCTGAGGGTGCGGAAGAATTAATAACTTAATGCTCTAGGAACAACTTGCTACAGATAAAGTCTCATTATCCTTAATTGTTATTATTATTGTTGTTATTATTATTACCCCAACGCCTGTGAAAAGCTGCCATGGACCGCCAATGACCTCAGGTCAGGGGTTTAATTAACACCTCCATTAAAAGCTGAGGCCTCAGGCACCATGCTACCACCCCCACACTCAGACTCCACCTTTTCCCTGCTTCAGTTCCGCCCTACTGGCTCCCTTCCAGGCCTGGGTCTCCCTCTGCCCTCTTCAACCAACTTTTTTTTGCACTACTTTGGCCCACTAACCCTCAATGTTGTAGCCCCCAACTCTGTGATCCCTTTATTCTCCTCCTCCATAATCCCACAGATCTCTTTTTGCCCCCCCCCACCCCACCCCCAACATGTTCATATTTCTTCTCATTTCCCTACTAACTCCTTCCTTGTTCTTAAATAAGGTTCCACACCTTTCCTGGGGGTCTTGGAGATCAAGGAAAGCAATGACAGCCTGCCCAGGTCCCCATTTCTCACAGTCCTGCCCCAAATCTTTCATCCCACCTCAGCCCAATCCTGGGCTAGAACTGACAGGGATTGTTCTTCCTGCTTGTGGGGCCGGTTGGGTGGGTTGAGTGGTTTTGAATTACAGAGTCTGGCATTGATTGCCTCACAGCCCCGTGCAGCTGCCTTCTTTAATTTATTCCAATTTTTAAAAATCATCTCTTAAATTGGACCTCATCAAATGCCGCTGGGGCATGTATCATGTCAATTACATGTAACAATTAAAAGCAGTGCCATAAAGAAACCTGTGGCCTCTTTAATGGGGAGCAGGACCAGCCAGGCTTAACTCCTCAGGTTCATCTTGCTACAGGTGGCATTGGGGCCAAAAGGTAAGGGAGGAAGGGCCGAAACCGGATTGAGAGGCAGGATATTGACCTGAAACAAGCATAGAGAGAATGGGGGCACTTTTGAAGGAAGACACAGACTCTTCTCATTCTTCTAAAATTTCTGGGAATCATACATGATGTTAAATTGGAAACTTTCTATTTACCAGAAAAGAATCTCTAGTCTGAAATGCAACTGAAAATTCCTACTTCGCACTTTACAATAACGGGCCATCTAGTATTTATAAATTAAAAAGACAAAAACAAAGAAAGAAAGAAATCACCCTGCCTTCCATTAAAAAGGAAGCAAGGTGCAGCAGAATAAATACCACATAAGGAAACAAGAGAGACCTGGGTTGGAATTCCAGTCTGGCACTACTTTGCCATGTGACCGTGGGGAATAGTCACTTTGGCTAGCAGAGTCAGTTTTTCCATCTTTAAAATGGAAATGAGGCTCAAAAAGATAATGTGAAAGAGCATTACATAATTGTCAACTGCACAGGCAATGCCTTGTCATGCAGGCCCTAGGACAGGAGACAGGAGTTATTGTTTTAACAGTAACGATGGTGTGCTATAGCTATCTGCTCTCCTTTGCCTGTGGGTCCCCACCAATGACCAATGGCATACATTTTAGAGATAGCTAGGGAACATTCTGTGGCTGGCATCACAGAGCTTTTCCTCTGGGATGAAAAGCAAACTGACCTGGAGAGGGGTCTAAACCCAGAAAACCTGATCGCATCAGAGCTGTGTTCTACTCACCCAACCTGGAAAACAATGATGTAGGCAGTGTCAGTATACTCCTTATTTACTTAATTCATTTATTCATTATGTTTGTGAACTTGCCTGAGAGTCACTCTGTTCCCTGATGTTTGTCCAAATCTGTACTGTCCATTATAGATTAAACTCCCAAAGGGCAGAGGCCAAGTCTGTTTTTATGGTGTCCAGCTCAGTAATATGCACAAAGGAATGTTTAATAAACACTCTTAAATGAGAATGATGATGACAAGATAACCAGTACTCAAGTCTTTCACTTGGGGAAACTGAGGTCCAGAGAAGACGAGAGCCTTAGAAAATGATAAATCACCCTTTGGCACCGAGGCATGCTATATTGACTGATGGCTGGGTATTGACTTAGCTATGGACAGAGGGATGGTGGCATCAATGAAAAAAAAAAGCTCAACAAAGCAAACAATCTTGAGGCTGATATACATAATCAATTCATAACTCACTATACATGTAGTCAATCCATAACCCACCATTCTCAAGGCAACAAGGATAGGACTGTCCCTCCACCTAGCCCACTCCTGAAAATCTTCCTCTCTTTTCTCCTCTAAGGTTACCTTTGATATTCATTTTAATTTGATGATTTCACCTGTATATAAATGTTTGGGGAGGGGAGGGGTAGGAAGAGGTGCACAATATAATTTGTTCAGGATCTGCCAACACTCCCCTTAGGAATGGGTCTGGGGAAGACAAAGTTCATTCAGTGAATCTCTGACCAATGAAGCCAAAAGTCCTGCCTGGATTGGTCTTACACCACAAACGCTCCCCATGGAACCAAACTCCATGAAGGTCTTGAAAGAAGCTTTATGGGATGAGAACTTGGAGAACTCGGGATGCCTTAGGACCTGCCTAGCTGAGAATCAGAGAACATTCCAAGCCCACCTCAATAATCTCCTACTCACCTATTGTTACCGTAAGTACAGGAAGGGGTACACAAAAGTGAAAGTGGGTTTAGTATATGTTCAGTAAACTCACTGAAAGCAGGAATTATTTTTGTCATTGTGTCTCCCGGTCTTAGCCTGTGGCAGAAGCTTAAGAGACGTCTAATTGAATGAAAGAAAAAGTATTTATTAAGCATCTACTATGCTTCAGGCAACAGTAAAACAGTTCGTGCCCTCAAGGAAGGAGCTTACAGTCTAAAACATCCAACTCTACATTCCTACTGGCTCTCTAAGCTAAATCAATTAAAGATATTTTAAAGGCCATTAGTTGATTACAGTGGATAATAGTGGTCGTGGAGGTAGAAAGACCTGTGTTCAAATTCTTCAACTCAATCAGAATCTAGGCAGATCATTCAATCTTTACCTGCTTTAGGCAACTCCATAGTATTTAACTACAGAATAGAGACCGTAGTGATAGTTCTGGGAAAGAAGTTGCCTACGTGTAGGAAATCACAGATCCTCTGCTTTTCCATTTACTAAGGAAAAATTTAAAACCAAGGAGACCCAGTCAGTTAATGTGGGTCTGGGAGACAACCCAGTAAAGTAGATCCTAACCCAAGGCCAAGAAGCCTGTCTCTCTTCCAGTCAGACCTTCAGGAAGGCTAGATGTGGATGCCACACAGTACCCCAACTCTGCCTCCTGGTTCCTCTGGCTTCCTACAAGTCCCAGTCTTCTATAGGAAGTCTTTTCCCAAACCTTCTTAATTCTAGTACCTTCTCTCTGCTAATTATTTACAATTTATCCTGTACATAGCCTGTTTATGCATTGTTGTTTGCATAACTGTGTCCCCTATTTGATTAGGAGCTCCTCAAGAGCAAGGACTATTTTTTGGCTTTCTTGTATTCCTAGCACTTAGCACCAGTACCTGGCACATAGTAGGTATTTAATACATGTTTACTGACTATTATTGATTGACACCAAGCTCAGCATCATCTGTTATGACTTTGCCAGAATGTAACAAGATTACCCAGACCAGAGTGGCACAGGGCTGAGATCACACAGCATTCTGGCTTTGTTTTCTAGCAATCGGCTGGGTTGGCATTAGTTTCTGTCAGGAAATATAAAGGGGAAAAGTTCAAGATGAGAATGATGCAGCCCAAGAAACTGAAATCCTAGCGACCAGGGATATACAGAGATGAGTTTACACTGTGTATTGAGGCAACCCCAAGGCTTTAGCACCAGCAAGAATGAGTTACATTAGGCCCTTGGGCCAGATTCTGGGATTTCCCCAGACCTAGGAAAAGCGAAAGAAGGGAGGGAAGAGGCAATGAGAGTGATGAATAAGGGGTGGGATATCCACAAAAGGAGCCATCCTTACACCACCAGAGAGTCACAATGGGGATTTGTAGTAGCCTTACAGCCAGCCCTACCAAAAAAAAAAAAAAAATTACCTTGTTAGTCTATAATGACAGATTCTTCTAGTGAGTTTCACATTCATCCCTCTTCCTCAAACAAGGGCAGCCCAAGCAGATGAGGAAAGGAGTCCTCTCCAGTACCTTTGAAAAACCCTTGGGAAGAAAATATTTAGTCATTTAGAATCATAGAATGTCAAAGGTGGAAGGGACCATAGATATTTAACTAGTTAATTGTCTTATTTTATAGGTGAGAAAAATAAGGCCAGAAGAAGTCAAATGATTTACTCGAGGTCTTGTGTTCAGGGTTCACTAGCCTTAACACCAGGTTCTTTCTTACATCTAACTAAATGCCTCCCTCTACTGCTTAAGTATTTTTCCACTAAGGATTTCATTAAGGGTACCAGAACATTTTCTCCCTGACTGGTTATATGTAATATCATTTTCAAAGGTCATTTATTGAAAATATCTTGGTTCAGCGTTGACAAGTATACAAACACTGAGATCTGGTGCTTATATGAATTTGGAATCACTATCAGACACCTTCCTTTGTGCTTAGAAGGGGAAAGGTTCAGAATCAAGAAATCAGAGCCTTCCTTATGTTTATAAAATTTCTGTTCTTTCCCTTTTGTGGTTTTGAGTCAAGTTCAATTTCTCTCCACCCTCTAAGTTTCACTCCCCAGGGTTTCTCTGCTCCTGGGGAGTAGCACCTGTACTGAAAAGGTTTGTGTGAAACAGAGAGTGACTTCAGTGTAGGAAAATCTAAAATGTGCTTTTAATAAAGGACACTGGGTTAGAATTCCAAGTGCAAAAGGGCCAATCAAACTTCGAGTAGGAAAACTTCAAGGAAGCTTTGAATAGAGGTGGGGAAAGGAGGTGCTGATCTTGATCTCCGTCTACCAATACTCTTTGTCCTTGGTAACTACACCTCGTTCCTTACATATATATATATATGTGTGTATACAAGTACGTACATGTGTATGCTTGTATAGATATATATATACGTGTGTGTATACAAACATACACATACATCTATATCTATCTATATTAAGGACACTGGTTCCTTTGTTTTGAAGGTGGATATTTTTGTTACCTCATTAGTGATGCTACTAATTTCTAACAATGAGTTAGTAATGTGACCAATGACAGCTGTGAGACCTTCTGCAAACCACCAATAGCTCTGGGACTCAAACTTATCTCTTTAATTCAATAAACATGAATTAAGCAAAAGAGGACAACCAAACTTAATCCTAGTTACTTTACAGTTTTAAGGTTCTAGGATTCCACTCCAATATGGGACTTTTGCTCTCCTGAAACTCCTGGGCACCCACCACTTCTCTGCTTCCTGTTCCTTGCAAGGGATTTTCTTCCTTTTTTACTATTACCTCTCCAAGCCCACAGGGAGTCTTCTGCTCCTTTAGCGTGTTCTAACTACCTCAAGGCAACTAGGCCTGGAGTCAGGAAGACCCGAGTTCAAATCGGGCCTCTGACACTTACTAGCTGTGTGACCGAAGGCAAGTAAGTTACTTAACCCCAGTTTGTCTTAATCCACTAGAGAAGGAAATGGCAAACCACACCAGCATCTTTGCCAAGAAAACCCAATACCCAATATTGGCTGTATCATCGTCACAAAGAGTCGGACACAACTGAACAACTACCTTGGGTCTTCCCTCTCTCTGGGGTATAATCTCGCTTTACGTGCAGTCATATCCTGCCTGCTCGGCTGGACTGCAGGCTCTCTGAGAGGAAGGACTTAGTCTTCTCTGCGTCTACTTATATCTTTTATTTTTTCCCCCCGATTTTTTGGTGAGGCAATCCAGTTTAAGTGACTTGCTCAGGGTCACACTGCTAGTAAGTGTTAAGTGTCTGAGGCTGGATTTGAACTCAGATCCTCCTGAGTCTAAGGCTGGAGCTCCAACCACTTCGTCACCCAGAAGCTTTGCACAGGCTAGGCACTCAATAAATGATGATCTGATTTGAAACCCCAGAGCTCTCCCTTTTAACCCTCACCAAAGCTCCACTTTTCTGCTCCTTAACCTCTCTTCTCCTTTCTCTCTCATTCCAGACCCGAACCCTCTAGAACCCCACTTTTGGAACCTTCCTTTTCCCTCACGCCCCCAGTGACCACTCCCCTCTCACTCCAGTGACCACCCTCCTCCCCAGGGAAGGTGGTGCGCATGCGCAATCGTCGCCTTTACCTGGGCGCTGGAGAGTAGGAGGAGGGGGGTGCGGGCGGGGGTGGAGTAGGGAGTTGGCGGTTATCTAGGCGGCGGAGCGTTCACTTTGTGGCAGGAGAGAGAGAAAAGGTGCGCCCGGGCCAGCCCCAGACGGGCCGCGCATGCGCACTTGTGCTGTACAGCGGTCTGGATGCCAAGGGGGGGGGTGAGTGGGAGGGAGGTGTTGGAATCACTCTTTGCAAGGGGGGGG